GCACATGAACGCCCTCACTCACATACACTAGGGGGAGCACATGAACGCCCTCACTCACATACACTAGGGGGAGCACATGAACGCCGTGCTAACGTCTGTTTGTTTATCCAAGGTTGGAGGTCACATGCTTAGAGCCAGAACTTTGCATGGTGATTTATGATTGTATCGGGAGTATCACAGGATGGTCGTGGTCGACCCCCATTCCCCCCTTAAGAAGGATCGGCTCCTATTCCGAATCCCAGCGACGACTATGAAGTCTGAAGTGAGGGTTTACTTTTCCATAGAGTTCTGAAAAGATTTTTAACTGTTGATAATACCCCAACTTAGAACGTAACCACAACGCTTTAGTGACGTTGTCAGAACGTTGTGTCAAAGTAACAGTTGTAGAAATAACGTTTAAGTTATGTTGGGATTGTTTGTTATGAGGGGAGAGAGAGAGAGAGAGAGAGAGAGAGAGAGAGAGAGAGAGAGAGAGAGAGAGAGAGAGAGAGAGAGAGAGAGAGAGAGAGAGAGAGAGAGAGGAAGAAAGAAAGAAGTGGAGGTACGAAGAATTTATTTATTTATATACAAGAAGGTACATTGGGTTGTTAACAGAGAACATAAAAATTAAGTTGATTTTACATTCTTGTAGAGCCACTAGCACGCATAGCGTTTCGGGCAGTAATGAGGGGAGGGGTGTGAGAGGAGGAGGGGGGGGGGAGTAGGCAGAAGACAACAGAGTGGGGGGAGATGGGTAGTGAAATGTGGGGGGAAAAGAGGGAGGGGGTGATGAAAGATGGAAATGGGGGGAGAGAGAGAGTGGGAGGGGGGGGGGGGACACACGTTTCTACAAACCCTATGGGAGAAAAAAAGATCTGTTTTCTGTGCTACATCGTACCTTGTTGACCTTAAAGCTGTTAACCCTTCTAGGGGTTACATTCGACCTTTTAAAGAATAGGTATGGAGTAATATGCTAGTGCAGATTAGAATAGACGTGCTATAGTGCATAGTGATGAGTAGAGGCGCCATAGTGAAGAGCAGAGGTGCCATAGTGAAGTACAGAGGTGCCACAGTGATTGTGCCTGTGTAGAGGTGACACAGGCACAATCAGAAAGCACAGTATGAACATCCGAGGTCAACGGCTGTTCAACCTCTTATTACCAGGTACAAGAAATATTGCCGAAACCAAAGTAGATATTTTCACGAGACAAATAAATTTCTGCAGCAAGTGACGGATGGGCTGGCTTCTTGCTTGTGAACCTGCGAGCCTGTGCAAGCAACAACCTGACTGATCAAGTTATCACCAGAGAAACCTGACCTCAGGCCAGACTTCTGAGGTGGACCAGGGCCAGGGCCTAAAGAATGATCGAAATCATTACTGGTAAATACAGAAACAGGTAGATCCTTGGGCCTGTAACCCCCCCCCCCCCTCCCCCTTTACACCGGCAGAATAAGCTGAATTTCACGGCACGGGATGGAACACATATATGGGAAATATTCTCCAAGTTACTTAGGGCAATGTATACTGCAGATAGAGACAATCTGCTTGTCCATGGGGAGACAAGAACAGTCTGTTCGACCAGGGGGGTACAAGAATATGCTATTTCACCAGGGGATGACAACAACAGTTTGTTTGATCATGGGGAGACAAGAATAGTCTAACCAGGAGATGACAACAACAGTCTGTTTAACCAAGAACACAGACGCAAACTAAGCAAATGTACCACCGGGTTGTGGAGTGGTGGAGGCAGACTCCATACACGAATTCCGACCTAGGACTTGTGATCCTGTGGTCCTGGGTTCGATCCCAGGCGCTGGCTAAAAACAATGGGCAGAGTTTCTTTCACCCTATGCCACTGTTACCTAGCAGTAAAATAGGTACCTGGGTGTTAGTCAGCTGTCACGGGCTGCTTCCTGGGGGTGGAGGCCTGGTCGAGGACCGGGCCGCGGGGACACTAAAAGCCCCGAAATCATCTCAAGATAACCTCGAGATAAGAAGATAGGTATGATGCAGCTCGTGGCCTTAGGTAGCAAGTATACCAGGTGATTCAAGGCCAACAGGCGGGATCTAAGAGCTAAAGCTCAAACTTGCAAGCACTGAGAGCGCGCGCGTGCACACACTTCCCTCATACACACAATGAGTGCATGGACCAGTGCCAGGACCAGTGCCTGGATGTGGCACTCATTCGCTGGCAGACCTGCACGAGGTGAGGACGTGTCTCTCTCTCTCTCTCTGACTCTGAGCTGGAGCGTAATAGTTGTTGACTAGACCACACACTAGAAGGTGAAGGGACGACGACGTTTCGGTCCGTCCTGGACCATTCTCAATCGACTTGAGAATGGTCCAGGACGGACCGAAACGTCGTCGTCCCTTCACCTTCTAGTGTGTGGTCTGGTCAACATTCTTCAGCCACGTTATTGTGACTCCTCGCCTGCGTAATAGTAGTTTACTGAGAGTACTGACATAGTGTACTAGCAGCAGTAGTCACAGTAGCTGGTGTAGAGTGTATGCTGGTACTCTGAACATCCTGGTTTAGTGTCCCAGGAAAGCGGTTTCTTTATAGTTTCACACATTATAACTTAATTAATATTTAAACCTCTAAACCTTTTATCCGTTTACGTTCAATACTTTACAAATTCTCTCCGGACTGTAACTGTAAGAAAATTACACTTTCTTACTGAAACTTGATTTTATTTATAGAAGAAAACTTGAAAACATCTCCGTAAGGCAAACTGAGAACTTCGCTTTAATAATATAATTTGAGAACATGTTTATTAGCTTCGAACTGATGTATACGGGATTATAAAAGAAAACTTCCAACATTTTTGGGTCGGGGGGAAGGGGGAGTGAATACGGATTATCTGTGTGCTCTTGGAGGCGTTTTGGGGCCAAACGAGGATCATACGCACCCTTTTCGGCCACAAAATTTGACAGTGTATATAAAAAAGGCAGAGTCCCTCGCAGATGGGGGTCCTAGAGGCTGGGAGCGTGCCACGCTGGCACCCTGGCGACGGGGCCAGCGGGATCAACACCTGAGGTCACCCCGTATAAGGTGTTCTAGACACCTGTACAAATGCGCATATCTTGGCGACGCAGAAGATCTAACAGTTGGAGGGATGACTGTGAAGGAGATGAGTAGATCTGACAAGTGTCTGAATGTTTGCATCTTGTCGATGGTTGCACATCCGTAACAAATGTGTTTTCGTACTGGCGAAGAGTTTTTAGTGTGTGGGGACGCCTGAAAGAGTTCTGTGTGTGTGGCGACGTCTGGAAGAGTTGTGTGTGTGTGGCGACACCTGGAAGAGTTCTGTGTGTGTGGCGACGCCTGGAAGAGTTCTGTGTGTGTGGCGACGCCTGGAAGAGTTCTGTGTGTGTGTGTGGCGACGCCTGGAAGAGTTTTGTGTGTGTGGCGACGCCTGGAAGAGTTCTGTGTGTGTGGCGACGCCTGGAAGAGTTCTGTGTGTGTGGCGACGCCTGGAAGAGTTCTGTGTGTGTGAGGCGACGCCTGGAAGAGTTCTGTGTGTGTGGCAACGCCTGGAAGAGTTCTGTGTGTGTGTGGCGACGCCTGGAAGAGTTCTGTGTGTGTGTGGTGACGCCTGGAAGAGTTCTGTGTGTGTGGCGACGCCTGGAAGAGTTCTGTGTGTGTGTGGCGATGCCTGGAAGAGTTCTGTGTGTGTGTGGCGACGCCTGGAAGAGTTCTGTGTGTGTGGCGACGCCTGGAAGAGTTCTGTGTGTGTGTGTGGCGACGCCTGGAAGAGTTCTGTGTGTGTGTGGCGACGCCTGGAAGAGTTCTGTGTGTATGTGGCGACGCCTGGAAGAGTTCTGTGTGTGTGGCGACGCCTGGAAGAGTTCTGTGTGTGTGGCGACGCCTGGAAGAGTTCTGTGTGTGTGGCGACGCCTGGAAGAGTTCTGTGTGTGTGGCGACGCCTGGAAGAGTTCTGTGTGTGTGTGTGGGGCGACGCCTGGAAGAGTTCTGTGTGTGTGGCGACGCCTGGAAGAGTTCTGTGTGTGTGTGTGGTGACGCCTGGAAGAGTTCTGTGTGTGTGGCGACGCCTGGAAGAGTTCTGTGTGTGTGTGTGGCGACGCCTGGAAGAGTTCTGTGTGTGTGGCGACGCCTGGAAGAGTTCTGTGTGTGTGGCGACGCCTGGAAGAGTTCTGTGTGTGTGTGTGGCGACGCCTGGAAGAGTTCTGTGTGTGTGGCGACGCCTGGAAGAGTTCTGTGTGTGTGGCGACGCCTGGAAGAGTTCTGTGTGTGTGGCGACGCCTGGAAGAGTTCTGTGTGTGTGGCGACGCCTGGAAGAGTTCTGTGTGTGTGGCGACGCCTGGAAGAGTTCTGTGTGTGGGTCGACGCCTGGAAGAGTTCTGTGTGTGTGGCGACGCCTGGAAGAGTTCTGTGTGTGTGGCGACGCCTGGAAGAGTTCTGTGTGTGTGGCGACGCCTGGAAGAGTTCTGTGTGTGTGGCGACGCCTGGAAGAGTTCTGTGTGTGTGTGGCGACGCCTGGAAGAGTTCTGTGTGTGGGTCGACGCCTGGACTAATATGGCTGGAGTAAGGAATTTAGTTGTTTTGCATTTTAATAAAAACTGTCAGGTTATAAAGGGTAAACAAAGTTGATTCAAGCAACTGCAGATGGCAGAGCGTTACACAGGATTGTGTTCCTATATCTACCCAGCCACAACCACTACACATGTGTATACACAGCCACAACCACTACACATGTGTATACACAGCCACAACCACTACACATGTGTATATAACCTATACTGGAAAGAATCCTCAAGCTTTCTTTTTGCCGAATTTCTTTTCTGAATCGCAAAATTACTCAAAATTAGGGTTATATTAGTTCGTGCTGCTTTTGTTTTGATGTATAACAACATATTATTAATATTCACTTGTGCTTTTGTATATTTTACGAATATTCTCCTTACACTCGCGTACTGTTTTAGGGAACACGAGTGTAAGGTCACTGGTACGTGATCACAGTTACTGTGATTTTTTTACCTTTTCAAAAATTCAGAGGTAATGGGCGAGGTGCGCAGTTTGTGTGTGGTGTTGGTGTGGTGGCTGGTGTGGTGCGGCGAGGCGTGGTGCGGGAGTCCCAGCGTCACTTACATAGAGTCCCGCTGGGGGGACTTTTTCATGGCAGAGAACCGGAGCGTCGTGAGGACGGCCGCCTTCCTCGTCCTCCCCACCACCAACCTCTGTGAGTCCTCAATGTTGTTGTTGTTATAGATTCAGCTACTCGGAACAAGTTCCAAGTAGCACGGGCTATGGTGAGCCCGTAGTGGACTTACCTGCCACAGGAGCGGGGCTGTAGAGTCCTCGACCTTCAAATATATTATATTTCTGTATATGTCTGAACGTACACATGTACGAGAACATTACGCCAACTCATCCTCTTGTTTGGATAGTTTTTTGTAACTATGTCCGTCATTGTACACACACTGATGTAATGGACAATTATATAGTATAATTTGGTACTATTCACTTTAAAGAGTTCACATAAAATTAAGTAAAAATCAAACTTAAATATTCCTAGGCCTAGTATAGCACACATATATACTTTATTAGGCCTTGGATGGCGTGTGTGTGTTAGGCCTCGGAGGGTTACGGTAGCTTTTATTAGCACCATATTACAAAATATTTTCTGGTTTGTCCAAATTCATTAGAACCAAATTCTTTATAATTGTCTATTACGTCAATATATGAACGATGGTCCACATCGTTATTCTAAGTACCGGGAGGGACAGAAATGGTTGGGCACATCTCCTATCACCTAATGCACCTGTTCACCTAGCAGTAGGTAGGTACTCAGGAGTTACCATGCTGCGAGGTTGCATCTTGGGGAGGGACAATAATTCGGCCTTAGGGGGGGGGGGAGGACCTGGATATAAGCCTAGCGTGTATGGATACACACTGCATGGCTGCCTGTCCCCCGCCACACTGAATTATTAAGTACTACGTAAACAGGAGGATGGCCTGGGTACGCGAGTGATCACACCAGCAGGAACACACACACGCACACGCACGCACACAATACAAAAAAAACAGTCATACACTCACATGGGCACACGTGTATTAGCATGTGTACTCGCCAAAAGCACGCACTCACACACACATGTATTGTAACAGACACAATGGCACACATTTGATATGCATAACAAAAATACATTTTTATTCAATTCAGGAGTAAATTCTGCCTGCAAACCTAACACATTTAGAGTTGGAACAATTTGACACAAAGTGTGAGTTTCGATTAGCTATTCCTCAATGTTCCTTACTGTGTGTTCAAGTAAGTTTGTGGAGACAATAAGATACATCTTAAAAGGATAGAGTAGCTTAGGCTACTTCTACGCTACTTTCGTGTGTGGCTCAGGTATAAATAATAGTTAATTAATTACACTATTAAAGAGGTTCTTTTTATGGATAGAAATTATAATTACATCGCAATAGATAGGTAACTGACATAAAGGAATTCATTAAAAGTTCTGGACGTACATTATTTGGTTAAACAGGTACGTGTAAGACCCAGTGTATGGCATCAGGGAAGTGTCAAGCGTGGTCCCTGGTGGAGACCTCCCCCGGGGTCAGCGAGTGTTGGCTGGCTAGCCAAGGTCCTGTTGTCTACGGCACCACACTCGACACCACCACCGTCACCACCACCACACCAAACACCAACGCCACCTACTTCTTCAGGAAAGGTAAGAGAGAGAGAGACAGAGTCAGACAGAATGAGGGAAAGAGAGAGAGAGATAGAGACAATTACCATTACCCCACTTCCCAGTTTCATGGGGGTAAGGGGGCATCAGTCCGCAAAAGAAAATTGAATATATAAAACTGGTGCTATCCTCTTCTTATTCCTATTACTATCTCCTTCTCATTCGGTGGTTATAATAGGAGCTGCCTCGTATGGGCCAATAGGCCCTCTGCAGTTCTCATTATTACTACTATCCCCTACACCTTACTTTCCTCCTCAGCTCTCTCTTGCCTATTTATTGCATGTCTCTACCGCCTCTTCAAGGTAATTTTACAATCTTCACAATTGACTTGAGAATGGTCCAGGACGGACCGAAACGTCGTCGTCCCTTCAACTTCTAGTGTGTGGTCTGGTCAACATATAAAACTGGTGTTGCTGACGATACAGTGGTTGTCTCCGTTACAGACTCAGTGATATACGGAACATACACCTGGCAGGCGGACGGGCTGCTGTACCTGACCATGAGCAAGCTGGTGAGGGGAACCTTCTCACAAGCCAAGTCATTCTGTGCCGCCATCCCGGGTCACCGCCTCGGGATTTACAAGACTGTAATACAGCAGACCTTCATAACAGCTCTAACAGCCGGTGAGAAGTAACCAGGGGCCAAAACCCTGTATTGTTTTGATGATACTCTGGGGACCGGAACTATCAAGAGAAAAGCTCCAAAAGTTTAGCATAGGCCTATGGCTGAATTATTGATTTTAGGTATCTAAACGTTGTATATAATTTTCATTCAGGTACCACTGATGTCTGGTTCGTGGACCTGTCTAAGAACGGCTCCAACCCAGCGGTGTGGGGAGACGGGACCCTGTACCAGAGCACGAAGCTCGACCCAAGCCTCCTCAGAACAAATGATCAGACCATCTTTAACGTGTACGCTCTGTACCAGGGCCACATCCAAGATTTTGGAAGTACCAGTGGTGTTTTTGTTCAGTGTCAAGTTAACCCTCGGGGCGTGGACTGGTAGTTAGTGGTGACGTCAGTGGCCAGGGGGGTGGTGGACGGAGGGGGACGTACCCACATTGATGGCTGGGGGAAGATCACTCACCAAGTAAGAGGAGGACGACGGTGGTGGTGGTAATCTCTTGGGTAAGGTAACTCACTAGCAACTCATATTGATACGAGGAGCACCATCTTGTTTTAACGGGTACCGCGGGTACTAGCTGGGGGTACCCAGCTGTGTCCTGGTCTCTCTCCCCTTACTGTCTCCTTCCCAATTCCCCCCTGCACCCTCTCTCATCTCAATTCCCCTCTCCACGTTTCTCTCCCAACATCCCCGTCTCCATCTTCCCTCTCTATCTCTTGCTCTCAGAAAAATTAGTGTTACGAGTCACTGACAAAATGCTATCAACTCTAGCAAGAACCCAAGAGTTGACTGACAGTGAACACAACAAGAGCGAGTGGTCATCACTCCACCCTCCTGGGTCACTACCCCCGGCACTGTAGTAACCTTACCCATCACTGGAGCACCGGTCCTCAGCTCACACTGTAGTATAGTTACTCAAGACATCGTTAAGGCTGCTGTGGAGATTGTCAGCTTCTTGTGTATATTTAGAACCACTTCTGAAATATTTGTTCTAATTTTAGATTTGTTGTTTAAGATTCGCTACTCGGAACAAAAGTTCCAAGTAGCACGGGCTATGGTGAGCCCGTAACTAAAATTTTTGTTAGATATTTAGATATGAGCACTTTAATATAGTTATATGTTAACTATATAGTTATAATTTGTTAATGTTTTGTGTATGTTACCACCAGTGATGGAGTTGGTGCTCAAATATAATTGGGAAATAAAAATATGTTTATCACAATATTTTGTCTTTCCATTCCTGCTGAAACTACTGTTCCTCGTGAACCTGTACAACTGGAGCCGTGTGTGAAAGCTCGGCTCACAAAGCCGCATGATTCTCATCGAAGATGGCGTCTGGTATTTAGCGAGATCAGAATTTGTTATTACACGCGGGTATGAGGGCTGATCCCGACCACCCTATGACTGTCCCCCAATACCCATCAGTCACCATGCAAAGTTTGGTGACGCCATCCCAACAGTCTGGCCTCCAACCCTGGAGAGACTATATAAAATAATATGTTTGTATAAGAGTATTAGACCGACAACCAGAAAGCAACTCCATAGTCTCCAGAGACTGATGAACGCCCACTATTTATAAGAGAACACGTGAAGGGACAGAGCTCACAACAATACCTGCCAAAAACACATGATATAATGTTGACAATCACCGTCAGTGATTGTTAACATTATATTTACTATTCGCGATTGTCACTAACCATCACAATAGAGCGGAATTTAGAAACAAAAGGAGCAAGAGAAGGGTGACGTGAAGAGAAGACTTTAAAGAGGCGCATGTTATCCAGAATGCAAATAATTAATATCTATTGTAAGGTACAGGGGAGCTTGTGTACACACATATATATATAATTCACAGGCTTGTATCGTGGTTCCCTCCAAAGTCGAATTACTGCCCTTACCGCAATAAGCAACCCTACAACAGTTGACTAACTCCCAGGTACCTATTTACTGCTAGATGAACAGAGGCATTAGGTGAATAAGAAACATTTCCAACTATTTCTGTTCCGTCTAGGATTCGAATCCGGCATTCCCGACTGTGATTCGAGAACGAACCCGACTGCGCTAGCGAGCACTGTGATACACGAACGGTAAAAACTACATTATACAGCAGAACTTACGTCTATATACACGCAAAGAACAGACCTCAACGGGGCTAAAAACAAATAGCCCAACACACATATGTGAGCGTTCGGTTTTTATACACTCATACTTGTATAAGTATGGGTGTATACTAAACTACTGCTCACAGGATGAGAGTGGGAGTGCACAATAAACTATCGCTCACTGGATGATTATTGGACCCACGATAAACAAACTATAGGCGGCATCAATCAATATAGTTAGCGGTTTCCAGATTTTAAAACAGTCAACCATTCTCTGGTTTGTGTTACAGAAAATCGACAGTTATACTCCATTGCAGAAAACGGGCTTCTTTCTATGAGACTAATATTTCCCCAGCTTAAGAACTCTCTCCAACTTGTATGATTTCCGTTGTCGAGAACAATAATGAGTAGTGCCCCTCTCCCTACGAGAGGAAATTATTATTATTATAATTTGTATTGTGCTAGCGCACAGTTAAGATGTATCACTGAGGGGTGTAACATAATAAAATTATCAACATCAGTTTTTCATTCATCAAAATACTGATTACAAAAATAAAAAATACTGAAGAATGAAACAGAAGTTACCGTAATTGTCTAATTACTGGCTTTTAATTTTAATTGTATCGAAATATACAACTATCGTAAATCCTTTCTGCGGATGGTATTAGAAGTCTTGATCCCGTAGAGCTGAAGGTCTCTACCTGGCCGGGTACACACACACACACACACACACACACACACACACACACACACACACACACACACACACACACACACCAATCACCTGGGCATCTGTCCGCCTCTAGGTGAGTACAGATGCGTGCACCGTATGTAATCCCTTGTTTTTTCTAGCGTCACAAGTAATCCATGACACTTGTCCACGTCACAGGTAATCCCTGACACCTGGCCATCCATCCATCCATCCATCAGTCTCAGGAGACTATGGCGTCGCGCTCTGGTTGTCGGTCTGGAGTGTCCTCTCCAGGGCGCAAAGCCTGGGTAGGTTGATACGGGCGAGAAGAAGCTGTTACCCATGCAGCAGGTCCCCTCTCTACACGGCGCCGAAAGTCTCCAATGGAAAGGCAAACACCAATACGATTGGTTCGAGATTGGCCATTACGATTGGATTGGTTGTAGTAACAATGGATTACCTGTGACGTGGACACCTGACCACGTCGCAGGTAATCACCTACATAACTACCACCAGCATATAAACATTCGCTTGTTAGCGAGGGCTAAACTACTCTATATAACAGCCTTGTTATTTACCGCCAAGATGAACTCATTAAAGAGATGTAATAACCAAATTCATTCCTTCTTTAATTAATCACTAATTACCCTTCCTAAATTAACCTTTGATGAAGCTTAGTTTGTTACCTGATGTGAAGCTTAATTTATTACCAGTAGTGAAGCTTAGCTTGTTACCAGTGGTGGAGCTTAGTTACCAGTGAAGCTTCGTTTGTTACCATTGGTAAAGCCTAGTATGTTTCCGGTAGTGAAGCGTAGCTAGTAACCAGTGGTGTAGCTTGGAGAACTCCGTCCATGTTCCGACTGTCTCCCTCTGCCGTCGACTTGCTTCCAGTGTTGTCAAAACTATTCCTATCAAACTCGCAGCTCGACAGCTTTGACAATCATTGTGTGTGTGGGAGGAAGTGAACAAACTCCCGGCTGGACATTCTTTACCTCGCGCTCAACTTCACCTCAGGCGCGCCACCTAAACTTTTCTCCCATCGGCGTCAGCGAATTAAAACGATCAATTGAATGCCAATCACAGTGAGGTTGGTGCATGAGGTGTTTCTTGTGCTGCCTTGAGTTCAGGCGGCCAGGTTCCTCTTGACAAGACCGCGGCTCGCAGTCTGGTACCTCTGGTTCCCGGTGGTGGTACCCCTGGCACCCGGTGGTGGTACCCCTGGCACCCGGTGGTGGTACCCCTGGCTCCCTGTGGTGGTACCCCTGGCTCACGGGGGTGGTACCCCTGTTTTTGCTCCCCAAAATTCCCATGTTGCCATCATAGTTTTAACCTAACGCCTGGTTATGTTTTAATGAGCTTTTCAGAGTTTTAACATTTAGAGCCGTGTTACTAATATTAAAACTTCGTGGCATTAACTTTGTAGATATTGACCTAATTTACCTCTAACTACAAAACTGGCCTGTCCTTTCCGCTGTCTAATTGAGAATCGCGAAGCTTTTAACTGCCCCATTAAAATTAAGCTCAGCATTTGGCCTAATTATATTGGTAGTTCCGTGGTCATAATAACCTCTCTCGTTGATTGGCTTGTCGAAAGTAAACAATGTATTACCAGAGCAGTTTTTATTAATATTATTATTACCAATATTAGCGGTGTGATATTGAGAAGAGAGACGAGGCTTCGTCAGCCAGTGACCGCTGTGCTCAGTCTTGCTGACGTGAAGCAGTAGCGACGAGTCTCAAGACAGGCAAAAATGTGCGCCAGTATGGCGTAGTAGAGAGAATAAAAGAGCTCCTAGAGGCGCATGCAAAGACCTTTTGAGCTTACCAGGTTAAGGAATAATGCTGGGAGTTAGAGAGAGCTTATGGAGGGTCAATAAATGAGACCTAGAAGCACAGGGACAGCCTAATACATTCACCAGAGAGTAGAATCTCCCAGAATCAGAGAGTAGTTTTCTCTGATTCTTGGAGAGCTTTCTCCCCCATACTCTCCGTCTTCCATTAGTGTCCCGAAGGAGGTGAGGAATGTGTGAAGAAGAGGAGAAAGTAAGGGGTAACTCAGGGAGAAAGGCTTACCATTAATAATGGGAAGGGAAAGCTCTCAGCCTGCTAACAGGAGTCAGAAGGCGTCTACTCCTGTTGCCTCCTATACGAAACAGAGAGGAACTGAGGGAGTGTTGATAAACAAGTGTCAGAAGAGACAACAGAGACAAACAGGAAACACTTCTCAATCAAGATTTGTTTAGCAATGTATTTTTGTTTACCTCGTCTAGGGACTGTAAAGGAAGACAAGCGACCTCATGAATATCTTAGTGTGAGTGTGAGTGTGTGTGTGTGTGTGTGTGTGTGTGTGTGTGGGTGTGTGTGTGTGTGTGTGTGTGTGTGTGTGTGTGTGTGTGTGTGTGTGTGTGTGTGTGTGTGTGTGTGTACTCACCTAGTTGTGCTTGCGGGGGTTGAGCTCTAGCTCTTTGGTCCCGCCTCTCAACCGTCAATCAACTGGTGTACAGGTTTCTGAGGCTACTGGGCTCTATCATATCTACACTTGAAACTGTGTATGGAGTCAGCCTCCACCACATCACTGCCTAATGTATTCCATCTGTTAACTACTCTGACACTGAACAAGTTCCTTCTAACGTCTCTGTGGCTCATGTGGGTACTCAGTTTCCACCTGTGTCCCCTTGGTCGCGTACCACCAGTGTTGAATAGTTCATCCTTGTCTACCTCTTAATTCCCCTGAGTGTGAGTGTGTGTGTGTGTGTGTGTGTTTGCACGCGTGTGCGTACTCACCTAGATGTACCTGTTGGGTTGAACATCTGCTCCTGGCCCCTGCCTCTGGAACAATTTCTAGTTTAATGCAATGATTGAGTTCTCGTTTTCCGACCGTATTTGCGTGTAAAATTGTGAATTTAGAAATAATCAATCACTTCCTAATTAATGCCGCCCAGTAACACCACCTGGCACCACCTAGTCCCACCACCTGGCACTACCCAGCCCCACCTGAGCACCTGTGATCGGTGAACTCATTATGAGTGTGAAGGAGCACACACACTCACACACACTTGGGGAGCCGGGTGACTCAGCCACTACAGTTCCCGGAAGTGGCCGCTGATCACAACACACTTATAAGTGTCGTGATATTTCTCACTATTCCCCCACCCGGAAGTAATTATTTCGAACAGCGAGTTGATGCACTCACTGTTCTGGAAAATGTCGAACGCCATTAGTTGGGAAATCGTGTGAAAATGTGATTTTCATTCATGAACATGGTGAGTGGGGCATGACGTCACTGTAGGTGGGTACCCACCAATGGGGGTCAGTTCACCCATGTGTACACTGTACATGGGGGGCCAGCACAGAGCCTCGCATTAGTCACAGTCACATATATACTCTACCATGTTTTTAGCACATTTTA